GGTTTATGTAGTTACAGATGCAGACCCCTGGACTAGGCAGCCCATCTTCTCCACATGGAACTACTCTCAACACCTAGCCATCCTAATGCTGGACCAACAACAATTTACCCTTAATTTTCCAGTGTGAACACGCCTTCTATCACCTAACCACAGCATTAATTCCACTATTTGGCAGTGATTAACTACATTCACGCCAGGTTGCACACAGGCGGTTCACATGTCAAAAACCACATAATAATTCTACTAATGCTATTTGGCAAATGGTGAACCTTACAAGCTATGGTGATTTTTAAAACTGCTGCATTTACTGTTAGATCACATATTGTAATGAAATGCTATCAAATTTATCACCATGATCTTTTTGATTCATGTGGCTTATTATTTAACCACATCAGCCACAAAGTGGCAAAAGTTAGCTTTTCTTTTGAAGTAAATTAAATTAAGGCCTCCCGAGAAAATTCCCCAAGCTATAAACTAAAAAAGGCATTTATAAAAAGACATTTTACATAGTACCTCATTTTTTCTCATTTTTTCACTCAAATACAGGACGGCAAGGGAAAAAATCAACATTTCATGTATGTATGGCAATTTATGGGTATTTTGGCCAAGGAACAATGATCTAGCTTAAAATGAATTAGCAATAACATCTCTCAAGACTGAACATGAACCAAAAAGGAACAGAGTAAACAGTTGACCATAAACTTTTACAAAAATAAAATTTGAAAATCTATAATTGTGTCCAAAACTGTAGCTGCAACAGGTGTTTTAAGTCATGAACCAAGTGCTATTTTAGTGAAAATAGACACCAAACAAACAAACTAGATTCCTATCAATAAGACTAGTAAGCTGTACCATAAAAGACTAAAATTTCAGTAAAAACTATCCTATCAAAGCTGGCCTGTCTAATATTGACTTTGGGGTAAAGTAAAACTGCTGTTTTAATGTTGACTTTTAACAGCCCTGTGCAAAGCTCAGTGTCAAGGCCAAGATTTATCAATGGGAAAAGCCATAACATTTCTCATTTTTTTCTCACCATGAAAGACTTTGGCACTTGCATTCCTATGAATTAACTTTGAGAGGTGTAAGTAAGATAAATTGCACTTGATTAAAAATATGCTATTTTTCCTCTGGGTAAATAATTTTAGAATAGGCAAATTTACATTTAAAACAAGATGCAAAAATAACAATGGCAATTTCAAGTGCCTCAAAGATGCTTTGAACTATGCAATGAGCCTTACAATTTAATATCTTGTAACTTTTGCCCTGTTTGCTAAGGGAACGGCACTTAAAATTAGCTTTTGAGAAAGATTGCAAAGTCTGAACCTCAGGGTACTCACCTACCTCAACTACCAGTAACTTGACAAGTCCACTAGTTCAACAAGGTGTAAAAAAAAACTAACAATGAATATCACATGCTGCTTTCCATCAAATGGCCATGAACATACCCAAAGGAATCATGTTTGAAAGGTCTAAAATTGGACTTCACATTTATATATATAAAACCACTTCAGTGAGGTGCAGAATTGAATCACGGGTCATTGGTTTGTATTAAAACCAGTATTTTTGTATTAGCTAAACTGGAGCACAGAAAACTGGTTGGACGAGGTTCTTATGTTTGCAGTCTTTGCAGTAACTTGCCCACGTGGTCTAGGTTTTGTTGTTGTTGACATTCCTGTGGAGTGGGAAGTTCAGTGCTGCCACCTTTTGGTTGAATAGCAGTTCAGTCTGCTTATGCTAAGACAAATTCATAATAACATTTCTTAATGAAAAAGCATGTAGCTTCTTCTTTTTAAATGTTAGTACACAAAAGAACCAAGAATCAGATTTGTATGGGTAATGAAAAAAGACAAAAATATGATTGGTCTGAAAAACAAATATTAAACTGGGCTTCAGCCATAATGGATATATTTTACCTGAAAAAGATGGATATTCTCTTAACCCTTTATCCATCAACATTAGATGACAAAGTTTTTGACTTGACTGAACATTTTAAAATGAAATTTTTTCCAGCCAAATGGGCAACAGAGGGAAAGAGAAAGAGAGGTCACCCATGAACAACATGGAGAAGAAATGCCAAAGGAATGAAAGAAAGGAACTGGGGTGGCAAGCAAAGAGTGAAGTCAGCACAGTAGGGAAAGATAGAGGAAGATGGGAGAGGATGCTGACAAGCCTTAATCATGAGTCAACCATGGCTTAGAAGTAAGTTTCCAGCCAAATCCAATCAAAATAGCTGGGCACCACCCATCTCTATTAGGTCATATTATTCTCTCCCCATTAGCTCTATAAGAGCTGCCCCATTTCTTTAACCACCACATTGGAAGGTTTTAACTATTCAGACAAAAAATGATGACAACCTGTTTAAATGTAATTTTACTGCCATCTTCCTCAACAGAAAAGGGATGTTGTTGGATATCTTTAAAAAAATATCCACCACACAATGTCTAAAGAATGCAATCTCAATATATATCTGGGGGAATATCTTCACTTTCCCAGCAAAGTGACAGTTAGAATAGGCATGTAATTCACTCTATTATCTGCATTGTTTTGATCCAAGCCTTCTACGCAACCAAAATATTATGGTTTACTGCAACACAATGTAACCACTTTAATGATCCTGTACATTATTGATCATATATCCCATCAAGGTATTTGATATGTTCAACTCTTATTGTACGATCCAATAAAGGTCAAAGTAAGGACTAACATGATAAATAATTAATGAGTTAATGAAAATCATTCACAAATACTCTTTTCTTACCCACGATCCTAATCAAGAGAAACTAAAACAAATTCTGCAGCAGGTATTTACTATGATGTAACCTTATGTGAGAGGAGCAAACATTGGTCAATACAAATTTCAATTAACCTAAATTACGATCATTGATCTTTTTTTATTTACATGAGGATATTGTTGTTATCCTGGGTTTGAATGATAGCTTCGTTTACCATTAATTTCAGCCTTTGCAGTTTTACTATAAGAAATTATTCAACATAATTCCAATGTCCACACTTTATGGTGAGAACTCTTACTTTGAATTGCACCTACACATTTATAGCTATTTATTAATATCATTTCTGTATAGACACTAATTTATCAAATTGAGCAATAAGTGTACATTTTGAAAAAAGACATCTTTGGTTTAATAATAAATCTCATATATGTCAATGTTCACATCAAACCCAAACAATGACAACTTATTTTTATACCCCCCTATTTTCTGGTGAATTATATAACAAACTTTATTCTTAAATGAAATAATATTTTTGTAATAATTATAAAACTTTAAAATTCTATTGTAAATCAAGATTTTCAAAAACGTACACAAGCTGCTGATTTTATAAACAGGAAAACGCTATATTTGACGCTAATAGCACGAAATTAATTACAGTGTAATTTACACTTGTACATTTCCAATGAAAGTGAGACACCTGTTGATGCTGCTAAATACCTACCGTTGCTAAATACCTACCTGATCAAGCACATTTTCCCAACATATTCCCCATATCCCCCAGTTACTTACCAGGTTCACTCCTGAGTCGCTGTCTTCGCTCACTGCATCGTCCGTAGTCTCAGGGGTGGACAGAGCCTCTGACACAAGTGCTGTCATCCCCGGGGCCGAGTGAAGCTGAAGCCAGTGAGACTGCAGCTCACCCACGCTTGGGAAAAGGAGGGAACAGTACGAGCAAACGTAGCCCTCTCCCACCGCTCCTTCTTGATACATCAGGGCAGGGATATGTGTAGGTCTGCGGAGATTACGACAGTGTTGTAAATACCGTTACTTTCCAACGCTTTCTGTTGTTTACACAAATGGGATTCACAACATGGCGCGCCGGATGTGCCTTTAATTGTAACCGGAAGTGAGGTCGGTGGGGGGGGAGGGGAGGGGTGCCTAATAAAAAAATCAATAATTCATAATTCTTCACTTTTTATTTTGTTCGGTACTCTTTAATGCATGGAAAATTTTACTCATTAAAAACCAGCATAGATAAATACACACATCTAGTTGTATAAAGCAAATCAGACTAGGACCACGTTTACCGGTAATATGGGCGTGGTTTATTGTGTTGTGTCCAGTGCTGACGCTTTAGTTGTTTAGGTAAGGAGGGCTGGGTGAGGGCGAATGATGAAAGCATCGCTAATAAATTTTTACAAAGAAATTAAGACACCTCAACGTTTGCTTTTACTGAAGATAATGATAGAACATCTGGGGCATATGCAGGGGCGGATTGGCTGGATTATTTGCAGGGGGGTCGATCCGCGGATGCGAAGTCAACCCTCCCCCCTCCCCTTCTGGAGCTGGGTAGGCTACTGTACGGGGCCCGCTGAAGGGCACTAAATTTTTTTGGCATTCTAGAGGGCGAACGGTGTCATTGGGTACGGTTTAGAAATATAATTCAGCTAGTCAAAATTCTAACATCAGGAGGGTAGCCTACAATTTGCAAGTGGTGTGACTTTTTCCTAAATCCGCCACTGCCTATGGGATCTACATGTAGGCCTACTGGTAACTTGGCTTACGAAGTGGGCATGCTACATGTACAAGCCTACAGTCGTACCTCTTAATGAGATAAGTGGTGAAAAACAACCAAAACCCGTTGTATTACGGAAAGTCTTGACAACAATTCTACTCCTCTATCTTAATTCTTTTTACTTTCTCTTTAATTATTTATTTATTTGTGTGGGGGATGGAGGCTAAGATTAAATAGTAGGCCTAAGTTGTTTCTTAAAAGAGGAAGGATCAAAATGTCATGAATCATAGGTATGCCTATATATGTTTAGTCTTAGATTAAAGAAACGATTTGCTTTTATTATAGAGTGCATGTATAGGACTATTTGTATTTCGGAGACCACTTACATACGTGAGGAAATGAAAAATAATGGTTTTGTAACCGTGGTCGCTCACTGATTTTTGAGGTACTTTATGTTAGCGATGTAGGCCTATTATATTTCCATAAATTTCTCATGCCAGTATTATATTAATAGCCATATATTTTCACAGCGGTATTGTAAGGATAAATTACACCAAAATACTACAGAGAACGAAATAGGTTATTTTATCTCACTGTTTATAAATATACTAATCTTACAAAATCATGACTCATCATGTTAATTTCCCGAAAAAGTTTCCTCTTGCCAGAGGGCCAAGTAAGGCCTAATCATACCAGATTAACTCTTTGAAGTAATTAAAAACACTTTAAACTTTTGTTACAAATGGCGCTGTTTACTGTTCACCAATCATCCTGTATGTAGGAGCAGGTCACATGAGTCGAAAAGTCTTGGTCATGGGATGGTATGGTAGGCCCCTACACAACATCCAAATAGAATTCAAATTGGATCCATATAACAGTTTAACAGAGAAACGCTTTTCCGAATTTCAAGTAATTATATTTTCTGTGACAGACCTCCCCGTGATAGGACCATGTAGGCCTACGTGATTACTGCGCCATTTCCAAGGAGGTGCAGTCTATTATTGAAGTTCCGAGCAGAAAAAAGGCTTTTCTGTTTCAAGACCTTCAGTGAGCGGATTCGGATCGTCGCTTATTGTTTGTCAGGTGGAATCTGTTCCTCAGTTAAGAGATTGACTCGCTGTCTTCCCACAGTCAGCGTTCCAGTTTGGAAGTTCAGGACGCACTGAAAAATGGACAAACAAGCAACATTTAAGCAGCCATCTCTTAAAATCTGGACTTTTGTGTTAAATATATTATCATTTTATGTAATAAACGTATTCCCCTTTCATGTTCAAAATGAAGTACGAAGACTTTTCAAACGTATAAGTGAATGTAATAGACCTAAAAAGGTATAAAAACGCATATCTAGATTTTTAAACTAAAATTCTACTCAGTCAAATGCAATAAAATATTACTAAGACAGTAGTATGGAGAGGAAATCGCTAATGGCTTACAATAAAGTGTATCAATTTTCCCTTTCTAATCACATAAACATCAATACTCACTCGAAACAAAATCATTCTTTAGCAGATTTTGATATCGCACAGAAAATACGGAGCGGATCTAATCGAAGGAGCGTTAATTGCGCACGTTTGGCATATTTTAAAAGTAATTAATTATATAAGTTTCCACTTTTATAACGAACAATGCATTTTACCTTGTAGGTATTTAAAATATCTGCTCCGATGCAAAACTCTGGTCCAGACTCTAAAAAGGAGAAATGTAGTGTTAGGTATAGGCCTATGCTGAACTCTTTTTGTTAAAATGACAGGTTTTTAAAAGGGATAGTGAAAACAGAAAAGATATACGTTTTCTAACTGAGTTGTTTTATATTCTTATGTTGTGTCCCCTTCCGCCCATTTTTTCCCATTCCATTTCTGTTTCTCTTTGTTTGCGACGAAAATGTAGGAACCAAATTGCCCTTCGCCTTGAAATTCGCTAATCGTGGGATCTTCGTGGACTTTTTAGTTTACTTACCAACAACAATGACGTCAACGCCTAGGATCTTTTCCCCCAGTTGAATCTCTAGTCTTCGGTTTTTGTCAGCGACTTTTGTCGCATTTCCGACGAGCCACGGCAACACTTGTTCATCCGTAGATTGGCTAGTTTCAGAGAAGTAAATGAAAAATAGATAAATATAAATATCATTTCCTTTTTAACCTTGGGATTTTCAATATCATTAACCCACATAAAAGTATAAAACGTTTTGGGGGATAACCTCTTGTTTTCTCAAAGACACCAGAGAAACTCGGCTCATGCGTATCGATTTTAAGTACCATCTGCGTCAAAGATAGAATTTCACATTTATAACGTGCATGCATGTTTCAGCACCAAATTGAGATTTCACTTAAAATAAATATTCGTTGCCTCACGGCAAAGAAAAATCCGTAGGCCTATTCCGCGTTATCTTCGACTCTTCTGTTTTCATGACGACTGTATCAACATTTACTCATATAGAATTAATGCCAAATCCTCCCTCTCTACCTCATTTATCTCTTTGACAGAAAACTAATTTAATCTTTAAATATTTCATTCCATTTTCACTTGCAAATCCCGGTATTGATCTCTCCGACATAAACGATTATGTTTAAAGTAAGTTCCAAATAATAACTAAGGATTTGCTAAAAAGGCCTCAAACCAGTAATTCTAGTTAACTTTGATAAAAATTAAAATATTGTTTTGAGATAGGTTTTTTGAAAAAAGGAAAACTAGTGGATAGCAAAAACATCTAACTGAAATATATTGATGGAAATCTAGAAAAAAGTCAGAAACGATTCTATGAGCCTGTCTATGCATGCAAGAAAGAAGGGTAACGGTGTCTCAACAAAAAATACGCCAGAAAATGAAAAAACAGTAAGTTCATTAAAGCTAATGCACCTAAACTCACCTCCCAAATTTGGCAAGGGCGGTCCTTCTAATAAAGGACCGAGCGCACGCCGAGTTGATCAGAGCGTAAAGACTGTAGTTCTGGCACTAAGATTGCAAAAGGAGAAAGACTTATAATTAAACTACCCACGAACTATCTTTCGTGTTTGATATATACCTATACTGTCCACAATGGATTTTAACCACATTATAAGTATTTTTGCGTTGTCACAAAAATACATTACAGAAGATCTTTTCAATTGTACAAGAATGCATACGTTACGTGCGACTACTCCAACTATTGAGGAGGAGAAACGAATGATGTTCAGTAATTCTTGTTTAGCTTGTAAGCATAAATTAAGTTGTATAACTTTATCATTTTAATTTCATGATCTGTATGTAACTGTTTGACGATCACGTAGGCTTTCTTTTAGCAATAAGCGAGTTATCACCTTGCAAAGTACATATGGCAGTGGTGGTTCCATAGTTGCTTTGCCCCGCGGGGGGTCGTGTCGTGGGGGGTCTTCCGGTCTTCCAGGGCTGTCTAGAAGTGGACTTTGGTTACGTCGGATAGGAGGGACTTTTTTAAAGCCTAACTCATAATCCGGAATTGGGGACTAAATTGAAGTAAAAAAAAAAAGAAAGAAAGAAAAGAAACCCACACAACGGGTGACTTTTTAAATTACCCCCTGTACATGCGTATATGGTTCTTTAATACAAGTACCTTTGCGACACTCATATTCTTTTAGAACTTAAAATTTACTTTCAAAGCCAGGAAATTGTTTAATTGGGTCTACAATTTAAACACTATAAAGTGGCATTCGTAAACCTAAATTACCCAACGAAAAACAATGAGTCTCTCTTAATCCAAGATTAAATGTAGAGGAATAATATTAAATTGTTCAATATGCTTATCATAATCGTGCGCTAATGTTGAAAGCAACGCTCCATGTAGTTTGAACTCGCGTGTTCAGTTTTTTACAGACGAAACTGTACCATTTTAGAGTTATTATAAAAACTGTCAGAGCAATATTTTAAATCGGAGACCCATTTATCCGAGATATCTAATTTGTCATACCGTATCACTCATTTCGGTCATTCATGTCGAGCATTTAAGTCGTCTCTATTTCTACAATGTTTAAACTATAACCTTCAAACTTTAACAATATTTTAATGAATTTTGAGATGGAGTTGAACGTACCTTTATTGAATGTCGCTTCCGCAGACGATTACGCCTCGCTGCTATTTCTGTTATATCCTCCGACATGTTTGTGTCGTGTTTTCTGCTCCTCACGTACAAATTACACTGACGAATATTGCGTGGTCACTTATTACCCGAAAGCCATCGGCGTTATGAATAAATAAAAGGGAGTGAGACATGAACCCTACATTAGCTGGAAGCATTAATTGACGTGGAATCTGAGAGATAATGGACAGATAACGCCACGTGCCACGAGGTTGGAGATTTCATGCAATAATTGTTTTGAATAACTTGTTTAAAACGCACCCTCTACCAGGGTCGCAGTTATTATTGTGGACATTTCTTGCTGATGGTCAAAGTGTACATTTTGATTTTTTCCAGTTGTTAAAATGAAGTGAAATTATCACTACAGCTCATACTAGACACACTGGAACAGCGTAATTCTTCTTTACTTCCGAGTTGTTTTCATTTGCGACTCCTTGACATTTGCAGTACTGTGTTAGTTGCATTACCTGAATGTCTACAGTAACAGTTGTATCCTCTGAAATCAGGGGCTTCTAAAATAGCATACAACATTGAAGTACTCTGTGGGACCATTCCCAGACCGTATCATACTGACAGTGGATCGATCTATCTCAGTGGGGATTGTAGCAAAATTGCAATCAAATGAAGCACCTTAGATGTCTGTCAGACCATAACATATTACACTTGTCTACCAAAATGTAAAAATGTAACGATAAAATGAATAAACTCATTATTAGAATGGAATTGAATGGCTGGAAAGTGAAAACATAAACAATCAAAATGGACCAAGTACTCCTATTTAAATCAAATTGAAAAGAAAGAAAAAAACGCATGTGTGCACCATACTGATATGTTTCATTATGAAAACCTCAGATAAGGAAACAGAACTCTGGCTAGGCTATCATTCTTATTTTAGTCTATTTATTTATTTTATTTCTTTTAAAAGCATATAAAATAATTTTGAGATGGGAAAAATATCAATAGAACAATTTTAAATGTTCCATTTGCTCCGGTTTGAGATTCTGAACATAGACGCTAATCGCCTGTCGCCTCTGCCTCTGTCCATTCTTGTCTTCCACTGCAAAAACGATAATGGTTTCTCAGCGTCAGAATCGGATCTGAAAAATGACACTAGTTTCTGGTTGCTAGAATCGTTTTTGAAAAATGACAGTAGTCTCTGGTTGCCAGGATTTTTTATCCTTATTGAATAAAAGCAAATTTAGTCAACCATTCAACTCGGCGAGACACTCGGGGACAGACCTGTGCGCTGTATCGGATCTGAAAATCGACACTGATTTTTGGTTGCCAGAATCGTTTTTGAAAAAGTGAAATAGATTCAAACTTTTTTTATGACGAAGTGTACGTTATAAGTACAAGCATTTTTTCCGTCATACAAATATGACATTCCTTTTTCTTAAACTTCAACCTCATACATAAATCGCTATAAAATGAAATTAAAGGGTGTGAAAGTTGCATGGTTATCCAAGCCCGTTCGGCTGAGTCTGCTCAGATAGAAATTCAGTTTTGGGGTCAGGTTTTCACTTACTGTCTACCACCATACTGTGCTGTGATCCGTTTGTCCTAGATTTTATTTCAACAAGTTTTCAGACAACAAAAGCTCTAGACATGACAATTTGGCAAACATTTTATTTCGAAATGGGCACCAGTTGAGTTTGCATTTTGTTGATCACATCACTATATATATATATATATATATATATATATATATATATATATTGAATATATCTACACTGGTAACACGCACCTGGAGGCGGCAGCGAATCGCAATGCAGTGCTTTTTTCAACACAAAATAAATCCTCATTGTTAGGTTTAGCTAGAAAGTAAATTTATGGTTGGTAAATCAGTAAACATTAAAGCTATGTTTATTTTTAAAAGGATGGTTAGGCCCACTGTCATCTTTTTGAAATGGAAATGGTAGCGGTGTATTTCACAGGGATGAATTTTATAACCTACAGCTTTATTCATTTGACATAAAACAATTGAATATGAAATAAAAGTTTCCAAGACGAGTAAAGCGCGAGTGACATCAAATGTCCCAACTGACTGCCTTTGTGTGGCTGTAAACGGTAATAAGTCATCTTGAAGTATGCACAATTTTATATTTAAACAGGAATTCTCTACTAAAAGTAAAAAGTGCTCAAAAATGGGCCCTGTGAGTATGTGACTTTCAATGCCATCGACCTACTTTGGATCTTTATTTTCGACTGTCTTGTATATTAGTGCTTCTCTTTATTCAGTCATAGCCGATTATAACGCAAGATCATCTTAGATATGGTCTGTCAATCAAGTATGCGACAAAAACTCTTACATATTGAAATATAATATATTAATTTATAATTAAATTATTTAATGCTTGATTCGAATCGTTCCGTCAACTCACCGAATTTTAAAAAGTGCTTTTTTTTTTCGTGGGTTGGGGGAATCAATAAAAACGACCCCCTCTAAAATCCTGGATCCGCCCCTATATATAAAGTACTCCTTCAGTAACACCAAGAGGTGTTTGTTTCTTACATCTACAGCAGAATATATTTATGTAAGACGGTCGACTTTGGGGGCTCTAATGAAACTCAGGATAGTCTAGGTATCGGCTCGAGTTACGCCCGGAGAAAAAGTTACGCAACACCGCAGGTTCATTTTAAAAAAATTATTTTATTACCTGGGCATTGCCAACATTACTAGTTTTAAGGAAAAAAAGCTCCGTGGCAGAAATCGCCAAATCTTAAATTAAGTTTAAGTGAGAATGGACAATTGAAAAGAATTTTTACTGATAATTAAAGGAGCCACGTGCATAGGCATTTAACTCCACTAAAATAAATTTGCAAGTCTGGTGATTATTTTCCCCATCTGTACACGACTTTTTTTAAAACAAAAAGAAAAATTAGAGAATATAGTTTTATTAAACTATTGTATACAGTGACATTCAATTTCAAGTACTTTAGTAATCATAAATGAATCATGTACATGCAATGAATCAATAAACGGTAGTACCCGTTGCCCTCGGGCCGTGAGGAAAAACCCGTCTAAACCCTTCGTGGGGAATGCCGGGAAAATGCCCACGCCCTGAAACTTCAGTCTTTAAAACATTTTTTTTATTGGCAGGGCACCTTACAGTTCATATCGTCCCGTTTTAGACAGCATGGTGCAACTGAATAACTTTTTCTCCTGACTACAAACTATTCTCTGTATACACTATAGTGGTACACAAGATGAAGCAGAATAATTTACCAAAGTACATGTAATTCCTACTGAAAAAGGTACTGAAGACAAGACATTTACTAAAGTCTTAACACAATTAAACCGAGGCTTATTTTAACTTCATCTAGGGATATGAAGTCACAAATAAAGTAACTCGATCCTTTTAGAACAGAAAGCATACGTCAAAACCTGGTATAGTTCTCTCTCGTGATAAAATATACGAAAGTTCAGGTAATATTATTATTACCCAGACAACTCGATGATTGAAATTAACATATCACTGTTTAAAATAGAAGTTTCTCATATGTAATTTTGCCCTGAAATCGCAACTACCTAGGTGATACAAGAAAAGCAAGCTTGCTTAGACATGCTTCATATTTTACACTACACTGTATGACCGTCCATGCAAATTTCAATATGAATTCTTGGGTCCGGAGAAAAAAGTGCATATATGATGAATTGGATATGTTTGTCAACTACAACACTTGAGAAAATCATAATATATTAGTAATATTAGTAATGCGCGGGTTACTTGAGGTTAGTGTGCGGCTTATGATCTTCTCAAACGTTATACTGACGAACAACTCCACATCATCAAAAGCACAAATTTGAAAAATGACTACATCACTAAGATTGAAATAAAACACAGACGACCATAAGTGGTGATAATACCAATGTTTTGCGAGCGAAAGCCTATCTGCATTTTGAGTGTGGATAAAGCAACTGGATATTCTATTTTAAATTTTAATAATAACTGCAGAAGCAGACCATTTTATCAAACAGAACCACAGTTCATCTCATTCAATTGAACATTTATGAAATTATGAATGATTATACTGAACTTCAGTTTTCCCCTAAGCTATTGGAATAAAATGTTTCACTCTCAAAGTGAAAAAATAAAACTTATTAAATACAATTACACCCGACTCATACCTGTGACCCATGAAGCACAAAGGTTTTCGATATATAAAAGACTTGAGTACATTATTAGATTGCATTCTTACATTCAAAGTATATCGCTCTTCACTCCCGTTCCACATTCTCTAAAATATTTTTTGCAGACAGGCTGTGTCCTTAAAACCAACATTGCTAGGACTTCCGATCATCAATGGAAGTGGCAGCAGGGGCTCGTTGCTAGCGCCATTAAGTGTTCCACATCTTTGGCATATTTGGGCTAGGTATCTGTGCATTAGGGCATTATATGTGGAAAACTGCCCTTTCGTAGCCTACAAATGAATTGTAACGTGTTCACACAAAAAGTATAAAAGTAATTGAAAGCTTGCAGTAATTTCAACAAAGAAGATCTATGTAACTGGTGTTTGCACACCGTTAACTCTAGTATTTTGATGTTTCATAATCCTTTAGTTCTTCATATGAATATATTTTTTTTATTATATATTATATTTCTATAACACAGCACAAGAAAACCACAATGATTTTGGAGAGTGCTAAGGTTCTACAAAAAGAAAGTAAATAGATAAAGGAAGGAATATAAATCACAAAAACACCTAATGATCTGAACAATATAAACATATGAAAATACATGCTCACCATCACGGTCTCTTAGTACCACAGCCGCAGTACCGAGGGCGAGGTTGGGGGGTGTAGCTCCTAGTATTCTAGACCAGTGACAACGCCGTGCGAGTTATTGATGGAGATCTGAAAGTCGGTCGATAGGAGGTCAAAATATTTTGCATTTTTTTTTATTTTGCAAGTTTCTGACAAAGTTTTTGACCACTATAACGAGTTTCTCGCATGCGAGTGCTTTTTTTTTTCAGGTTTGCGACAAATTGAAAGATCTTTTGGGTACTAAAATGACTGCTATATGTACTTCCTTGAGAAAATTGTAAATAGAAAATAAAAATGTCAACAGTGTCTTCACGTTCTGATTTAACACAATTCTGTCCAAGGCGTTGCACAAAATGTCCAGTTTGTTGGATTTGCAATGACAAAAGATTTGTAATATCTATAGAATAAATGACAATCAAGTTCATTGTTCACCCTCTACCCTGGCCTATATCTTACCTTAAAGGGTCCCAAGTATCACAACTAGG